ACTGCAAACAAGCCAGAGTGCCTCCCTGTGTGCAAGTGCTTGAGGTTAACTCGGGGAATGGCCACAGACGAGTCCATCCCCTTCCTCCCCAGGGGAAACCATGCATGTCTTCCTAGGGAGCAGGGAGGTTTAATTAGAGCTGCCTGCTGCACAAAGCCTGGCTCTGCTGAGCACAGCTATCATTAAGAGGCAGCAGTGTTGGGCATGAGAGCAGGCTCTAGCCTGTGATTTATGAGGGGATGGTGTGGGTGCAATTACTTTCCTCTCTCCTCTCCCCAGTGTTTTTACAAGTGAATTCACTGGTGAAGGAGTGTCTGAGGCTCAGGCAAATGGGGACCTCTGTGTGTATCTGCAGCAAAAGCTTCTTCCTCCATGCAGTTACCACTGAGCCTCAAACCACACTTGGAGGGCTTTGTGTCCACAAGTCACAGTCCAAGCCCCAACCCTCTGTTACCACCTATGAGCACCAAGGGCAGCACCCTCCTCATTGCCACCCATCTCCTTCCACAGGGGCGGGATGAGGAGTGACCCCAAAGCAGTCCTGTTGGTGGCAAGGAGGCAGAATAGAACACCCCATTTGTGTTGGCCACAGGCAGGAGGTGGGTCAGGGGTTGGGTTTTGCTTTGGATTTGCTGGTGGCAGCTCTGGTTCTCCTCTAACACATAGAGAGGCTGGAAGCAGCTCAGCTCCCACAGGGTTCCCACTTCTGGTCACCTTCAGCAAGAGGCTGGGTACGTGTCAGTGCTCTGGGAGGGTGATGCTGAGCATCAGGGCTCTGCCTCTTCTCTTGGTCTTAGTTTCACTTTCTGAATTGCTCTGCAGTGCTGGGCATTACTGCTGGGTGCCTGAACTTTGGTTTATTGCCCCTCACATGGGCTGCACTTTACCTCTGGAGGATATCAGTCTGGCCAGGTTGAGACTGATAAGACAGAGGGTGGAAAAAGCAAAGGAAAAGGAAGCAGGAAGAACAAAACTCAAACAAGTTCATCCCATAAAATGCTTCTGGGGGCAGAACCCAGCTGGAAACCAAAATAAGGAGAGCGTTTGCTGGCCCTTTCCAAGCAGGTGTTGAAAGCCCCCAATCCACCAACTGTGGAGTGGTGCTACTCCAGCAGCTATTAAAAGAGCTGCCTTCACCTGGGGCAAGGCTGGGTTGGAGGCCTGGGAGAGATGAGGGCTCATTTGTACCTTATCTGCCCATCACAAGAGCTAGGGCTGTTCCATAAACCCCATTGGCTGCCCCTTCCTGGGTCCTGGTGCTCAGCTCCTCCATCCCAGCTGGAATGCTTGGGAGAAGCTGGGGGAGTCTTTCAGGGACTGGGAGAGGAGAAGTGAAGAGGTGGGCTCAGCCTCAGCGGGTGATAACCAACCATGGTCTGCATGTGGCCCCCAGATGAGGATTTCTGGCACAGGAGACATCTCAACAGGGTAAGGGAAACCTTTGTGGTGTGGCTGCCCCATCCCTGGCAGTGCTCAAGGCCAGGTTGGACACAGGGGCTTGGAGCAAGCTGCTCCAGTGGAAGGGGTTGGAGCTGGAGGAGCTTTAAGGTCCCTTCACCCCAAAGCAGGCTGGGGTTCCATGACTCTGTGCCTGGGAGTGGGGTTGATTTGTCCCCCTGAGTCATCTGTGTCTGCAGGAGCAGCCACCTCCAGGCTTCCCCTTCCCATGGGCTGGGAAGCTTCTGGGCAGTGAGCACGTTGCAGTAACGCCCTTGGGGGCGTTTGGGGAATGGGAGCAAGGGCTCAGCTCTGCAGGTGAATGGGGAAGGGCTCCAAACCGGTCCAGCACTCGGCTCCACACCCTCCCCTCCCTCCTTCCGTGCAGTTCCTCCTGATTTATCTGGATTATCAGGAAGTAAAGGCACCAGGGCTTTTTGGTTACCCCCTGGCATCGTGAGTGTCGGGTTTGCCGGCGGCACCATCCCCAGCCAGAAGCATCTGGCTGCACTGGGAAGGACAAACTTTCCCCTTGTTCAAATGGGAGCAGAGCACCAGCAATGCATGGGGTTGGCTCCCTCTGGGATCCCCTTTGACTCCCTCTTAGCTGTGATTTGATCCAGAGGAGCTAAATACTTTAGGGATGGGTGAGAGCATCCTTTCTTCCCGAGCTTTCCACTTCAAACCCACCAAGAGCAGACGGAGCTGCTGTTCACAGCCTCTCTCCTATGTGAAAACCCTTAATGCTCCACTCTGCTCTAACCCTGACATGAGAAGCTCTGGTCTGGTGGCAAGGGGAGATCAAGGAGCCAAACTGATGTCGGGCCTCGCTGGATGCCATCTCCTGCATCACTCGGGCACCACTCCTGATGGCACAAGGGCTCTCCTATAACACAGTGGGATGAGCAGGGAGGGTTCTGAAGGTACCACCCATGCCCTCCCTTGCAGTGGGAGGCTCAAGCAGCTCGGGGGCAGGCAGGTGAGTGTTCTGGGTACCTGCTGAACCTTGGCCAGAGCAGGGAGGGTCAGGAGGCCGTGCTGACAGTCATGTGCACCTAGATCTGCCCAGTGCTGCACCAGTGCTGCTGTTGGGGCACATACATTGCTGCTGATAAAGCTTTATTGCAGTGCAGGAAACCATTCTGGGAAGTCTGTGGACATCCCCTGGCACTTTGGGAGGGCTCACAAGGCTGGAGTGGCTTTGGATGGTGATCGTTTCACTGCCCATCACATCAAACTCAGGCTGAAGGTGATGCACCACCGTCTGCCTTTGGGTTAGGGGCGGCACTGCTGACTGCTGCAGTGTAAAGCAGACGTGAGGCCAAGGAGAAAACCACCAAACCCACAAACTGCCCTGACCTGGCACTTCCAGGGAGACCACGGCGTGGAAGAGGGAAGCAAGCAGGGAGTGTGACAGAGACCCAGCACCAAAGCAGCACCCGGCCGGGATCCAGCCCTTGGGGGATAGGACTCGGAGGCTCCCCACGCACTCCGGCTTTGCACCCGGACTTATTTCATATGGATGTTTCTCAAGCCCACACAAGCCGATGCATATATTCACCCTGTTTCACTCCTTCCTTTGCCTGCCACACGGACTGAAACCTCCCGAGACCTTCTGCACATCCGTGTCTCTTTGGAATCTCTTCTGGCCTGAGTTATCCATGACCCTATGAAAAGCACTCGGTTTTCCAGCACAAAGCCAGCCCATCAAGGGGCAGATCCTAACAAACCCTCGCAGATTTGGTCCTCCAAACAGGCTCTCCACCAGAGCAGAGCCTGGGTTCATCCTGCACAACCATTCCCTGGCTCTTCATGCCCTTGGCTGAAGCCACAGCGGGACAGCCCATCCAAATGGTGCCTGCTGTTCATGTTACAGCAGACAGTGTCGTCTTCTCTCTGATCCACCTGCAAACCAGCTGCTGCCCAAGCTGGTCCGTGCAGGTCGAGTGCTGCACCCATGGGAGTCGGGCAGACGGAGCCCCAGAAGCGATGCTCAGGACCTATTTCACCAGCCTTGGGGCTGGGTTTTGGCACCCCAACTGATGGGGGCTTGTCTGCAGTCAGCCAAGCTGGCACTGGAGGCCAGAGGCTGTCTGCTCCGTGGCACAGAGATGGTGCCAGAGGACGTTTCCTCCTCCTGCTGCAGCACCCAGGCTGCCTTGGTCGGGTCTTTGCCCACCCTGATCTTGACGGGGACCAGCAGAAGGGCAGAAACCAAAGCTTGTCTTGTAAAGCTGCTTCACGACACCAAGCAAACAGCGACTTCACCAGCATCCAGCTCAATGATGCCAGCGCTCAGCTTGTGTTCAGGGGCCCCAAAGCACCCCCAAGTCCCTCCAAGCTCTATCACTATATGACAACCCCCCCTGCCCTGCAGAGCGGATCCTGCTCCCATCATCTGGGGGGCTCAACCAGTCCCGCTTCAGCAGTGGAACCAGCAGCAGGTACGACCCAGGCCTGACCACAGCAAGGATCAAACTCTTGGTATCACTCCAACCACCAGTTTAAGCCTTGCTTTTAAACAGCGCCAAGCAATAACCTTTCCACTCACAGGTATTCCTGCAGTGGATCCCAAGCCCCTCTTTATAGCCCTGTGTTGGGACTCCTTGATTCAGCTCCTTGCCTGCCCTCTCTGGGCATGAAGGACTCAGTTTTGCTCCTAACCACCTGAAAGCTTCATCACCGCCCTAAATGGAGCCAGGAATGTGCTCCCGAGGTGAAAGTGGGGCTGGGCTTCAGGCAGCCAAGCTGCTGAGTGTCATTCTCGAGCTCCAAAAGAGCCCTTTTAGGAGTGGATCCCACCAAAGCAGCCACCGAGGGATCTGATCCCTGTCACAGCCCTCGCTCCGTGCAGCGTTTGGGAGCAGCCCAGCAACTCAAGCGTTACTCCCTGTTGCCCTAATTACAGCAGGGCAATCAGTGGATTTTACTACTGTGTTGTCTCGCAATTATTCCCAGCCTTTAAGCGTAACGTCAGGGAAATGACTCGTCCCTGAGCCTTGTCCCGGTGGAGTTTGCTCTGGCATTTTCCAGACAAATAAGGGAAAGGGGGCAGGAAAGCTGCGCTCCAGCCCCTGAATGCAGCCAGCGGCTCCCGGGGAGGCAGCGCTGAGGGAACGGGGCTCCGGTTCGGGATGCGGTGATGGAGCGCACCCGCAGCCAGCGCAGCCGCTCTGCGGTGCCCACTGGGAATGGCCGAATCCCTGCTCTCCACGCACGTCCCCAAGGAGGAACCCCCGAGGTCCGCAGACAAGCGGCAGCTCCCAGCTGCCCTCTCCAGACCTGGGCAGAGCGAAAGCTCCTGCTCGGTGCCGGAAAAGTGCCACCTACCGGGCCCGTCCCGCTGGGAAGCGCAGGAATGGGAACAACCCCAGACAAGAACGCTGGGAAACGCCGTTTTCCCACTTTCCCCCCATAACCCCCCCCTACACACACAGGGGCACATCCGAGGCACAGCCCCTCCGGCCGCGCTCCTTCCACAGCGGCACCCACCGCGCTTGGGAAGCAGACGAACGCCGGGCAGGGGGGCTGTGAAGGTTTCGGGTGCGCAGGGAGGGACTCACCGGTGCTGAGAAGCCGCTCGTGTCCCCTCTGCTCCCGTGTGGCCTCTCCCGCAGGTATCCGTGAGTGCCTACTTCAGTCCTGCTGCCATCCTCCAGCAGCCCAACTCCCTTTGCCTTTGCCCGGGGGCTTTGCCTGCGAGCCCAAGGGCCAGCGATGGAGCGCAGGGCAAGGCAGAGCCCACCCGGTGTCCCAGCCTGATGCGGGTCCCTTCGCTGCCGCCTCCCCGCTGCCCTCGGGTGCCGGCGCCGCTCGCAGCCTGTCTGCGAGCAGGTGACAGAGGCTTCCTGGCAGGGCAGAGGAGGGGAGGGATGTGCAGGCAGCGAGAGGTGGAGCTGGCACCCGGAGCAACAGGTTACTGAATAACCAGGAGCCGGCCGCCCCTTCCCCATGCAAGGGCACGGAGAGCTCGGGAGGGACGGGTGGAACGCGAGGTGCCTCCCACCCTGAGAGCATTGTGCGCAACGGGGAGCCTGGAGGCAGCCACGGGTGGCAAAGGAGTGCGCGGGGCTTGGGTTTCCATCGCCGGGGAGGGAGGGGATGCGCTGCCAGGCTGCCTGCGGGCGGGGGGGGACGGGGACAAGGACAAGGCACCTTTTGTGCGGGCCGGTGCTCTCCTCCGCAGCTCCGCGCTGGCTCAGGGCTTGTTTTCCCCCAGCTCTGCTCCTGCAGGGAGAGGTGCCATGGGGGTGCTGGGAGGGCAAAATAACCTCACTCCTCGGGTCCCCAAAGCAGTTGGGGTGAGGAGCAGAGCCCCCGTCGGGGTACCCCACACCGTGGCACTGTGCTCCTTAGGATTACATGGCCCTAAAGCCTCTTGGCTTGCCCCAGCTCTAGCAGGAGCTGGCAGGGGGTGGTGGGGCCCGGCTGTGCCACACGGCTCAGCCCCACACTTCGGCTCTGGGTGGTGGGCAAAGGTAGAACATGGCTTTGGCAGAGCTGTGCTGGGGTTACAAAGGGAGAGGGGTGACTGCTAAACCCACCCTGGGGAGGAACTGAGGTGAAGCAATTGCTGTGGTGCAGGAGGGGAGTAAAGGGCTCCAGGTGGGCACAGGGAAAGCTTCTTACAGGAGTAGAATCATAGTCATAGAATGGTTTGAAAGGGAGCTTAAAGCTCCTCCAGCTCCAACCCCAACCCCTTCCACTGGAGCAGCTTGCTCCAAGCCCCTGTGTCCAACCTGGCCTTGAGCACTGCCAGGGATGGGGCTTTTGAGACCATTCTATTGAAGTGCAGGTGCATCACAGGCTACCCCCATCCCTATGGTGTGTGGTGAACCCATGGCATGCAGAGAGACCCCTTGCCACCAGCCTCGGGGCACAAGGAGCTGCAGCTCTGACACTGGAGAAGGAAATCAAGGCACTTGCCCCATGGCACACAGGGCTGGAGGCTTCCTGAGCTCCCTGCCCCGTGGGTGCCTTCAGCGCCTGCCTTGCTAAGGGGGCTCGTGCTCGGCTCCTAGGAGCAGGGGAACACCCCGGGTGAGTTACTGCAGGAGGAATGCTGCTGGGTGAGCCGGATGGGCAGCGGGAGAGCCACTGCCCTGCGTGACAGCTCGGTCCTGACAGCAGCTCAGCCTCTTCCCCCATGTGGGATGTGAAGCGATGCTCGGTGTGATGCCCGCACCCAGCACCCAGCACCCAGCACCCAGCACCCAGCAGCATCCTCACTGCCATGTCAGTGAGATCCCAGGGATCTCAGCAAAGGATGCCCTGTGAGACATCACCAGCACGGGCAGAAGCAGGCCTTGGAGGCTGCCAGCCACAGTTCCAGGCAGGAGAAGGGATGTTGGTTCAACAGAAGGGGAATGCAGTGGGAGCATCAGCTCAGCCCCGTGAGCCCTGCCGGGGAAAGGCTTCGTGCAGCAGATCCCTACCCCCTGGAATGTGTAATCTACCACTGGGATAACACACGGGGACCACTGGGCCGGGCTGGCTTTACTGGGATGCAGGAAGGGAGGTGGCAGGATCCTGCTGCAGGAGCCATTTGAGGTGTGCGTGCTCTCTGCCAGCCTCAGCTCCACGTTCAGGATGAAGTGGGCTCCTGTGAGGTGCTGCACCCACCGGAAACCTCTAACTGCTGCATGGAGGAGGCAGCTTTTCCTCTGGGCAGGGAAGAAAACCACACTGGAGCTTATTACATCCTCCTAGAACAGCTGATGCTGGTGTGAGAGGGGAATTACCCTGCTGTGCCGGGGGTTCCGGTATTCCTGCTCCGCTGCCTTCACTCCCTGTGTGGCTCCAGATGAGCACCATGTCCTCAGCCCTGCTCCTTTGGGGCTGGACATCGTTCCTGCCTGCTGCGGAGCACGGAAGGGCTGTGGACCCATAAATCCCTATCTCCCAGAGCATCTCCAGGCTGGAAATCCCATGAGGCCCAACTTGCCTCTCGGGATCAGCCTTTTAAATGAGCTTGGCGGCAGACACCCCTGCGATGGCTCGAGAACAAAGACTTCTTCCTGGCAGAGCAAGCAGCACCCCGACCCGGCTCCCCAAAATAGGTGTTCCTCGCTGGTTTTAATGCACTTTTCATCCGACTGGCTCGTCCTGTTCCGGGAGGGTTGGGCCTCCCTGCAAGCTTCTGTCTGGCAAATGTCATCAATGGCTTCGCTGTGCTGTGCCTGATCCGAACGGTGGGGATGGTTTGGAAAGGTCAGGGAAACCCTGGGAGGCCAAGGCCTCGTTCACTTGGGGTGTTCTATGAGCTGGCCATGGAGAGGAGCTGGCGTGGAGCAGCACAAGTGGCAATGCCCAGTCAAAGCCTGGAGACAGCGGAGATGCAGGAGCTGCTGGAGCTTCTTCACCCACGTTCCTCATGGAGCAAGGGGCTGCCAGTGGCAGAGCTGCCCCAGATCTGTGCTCATTGAATCAGAACATGGCCAATTTAAGATAGGATTCCATTCAAATGCTGCAGCAGAGCTGAGCTGCCCTATTGAGGGTGCGAGGCCGGGTTGGTGCCAGGATCCCCCAGGAGGCACTGACAGCATCCAGGACCCCATGAGCAGTGTGAAAGCCACCAGGCCCTGCTCTGACTGAGCTCAGAAATGGGTGTTTATTACCATAGGTGTCTGTTTACCCCACTGCTGATGTCAGCATGTTGTCACTCTGTGCTGCTGCTTGGTTTTCACCTAGGGGATGGTTAGGAGCAAAGAGTTCACCATGTTTTATATCATCTATATCCCTGTGTCTCCATAGAGAACCATAGAATCATGGCCTGGTTTGTGTTGGAAGGGACCTTAAAGCTCATCCAGTTCCAGCCCCTGCCACAGGCAGGGACACCTTCCACTAGACTCCAGAGCAGAGCTGCTCCAGCCCTCACAGCATCTCCATGGCCTCCTCTGGCCTTGCTCCAGCAGCTCCACGTCCCTCTTGTGCTGCAGCCCCAGAGCTGGACGAGGACTGCAGGGGGGATCTCCCCATAGAGCAGCAGGGGGGATCTAGTTTTATGGCACAGCACCCCGAATGGATGTAGGGCCGTAACTGAGGGGGTGGTGACCTGTGGTGGGGTCAAACACCTCGTGGTAGGAACACCTCCCGCTAGCTTTAATGTCTCCTAAACCTACCCCCCGTTGGTTCTCTGCCAGCTCCAGTTGTGCTGATGGTTTGTACTGGTTTGGTTGCAGGGAGCACCACGAGGAGGAAGGAGGCTGCAACTTGAGGTGAACGCGTGTGACCCCATCTGCTGCACCACCTCCAGCCAGGTAAAGATGGGTTCCTCTTTGCAGGGTTTCCTCCAAAGCTCTCAGATGTTCCATTGCAGAGGGCAGGTGTAAAGATGTTTGTGCTCCTGTTTGCCTGCACCCAGAGAGGGCTTGGCTTGGGCTGGGTTGGTCCCTGATGGGGGATGCAGAGCTCGGTGTGTCTGGCACGCCTCGGGACGTGTGTGATGGGTACATTCCATCCTGCCCAGCAAACCTGGGTGGGTGTTTGAGTCACGCAGCAGCACTCAGCTCCTCGCCTTCCGTGCTGCTCCTTGCACCCAGTCCTGCTGCTGTTCTGTTGCCTTGGAGGGTGCAGGCGTGCTCCTGCGGGGTGGTTGGGCCATTGGCTGAGCAGGGTCTGGCCATGGGGGACTCCTGGCAATGTTTGTGTGTTGGTTTTGAGGGCTCAGTGGTGTAACAGGTACAGAGCTGCTGTAATGTATTCTATAGAGCCAGGCTGAGGGAGCTGGGCTGGGGCAGCCTGGAGAAGAGAAGGCTCCTGAAGGGGAGACCTGAGAGCAGCTCCAGTGCCTAAAGGGGCTGCAGGAAACCTGGAGAGGGGCTTGGGACAAGGGCCTGTAGGGACAGGCCAAAGGGAATGGCTTGAACCTGCCCGAGGGGAGACTGAGCTGAGCTCTTAGGCAGAAGCTCTTCCCTGTGAGGGTGCTGAGGCGCTGGCACAGGGTGCCCAGAGAAGCTGTGGCTGCCCCATCCCTGGCAGTGCTCAAGGCCAGGTTGGACACAGGGGCTTGGAGCAAGCTGCTCCAGTGGAAGGGGTTGGGGTTGGAGCTGGATGGGCTTTAAGGTCCCTTCCAACCTAAACCAGGCTGGGATTCTATGATGAGGACAGAGCTGGTGTAATGTGGATGGAGCTGGGGTTTCCTGGCCTTTGAAGTGGCTCCCCTGGGTATAAATGATGACAGTGGGCCCCTGCACAGTAGCTTCTTACATCTTTTGCTCCCTTCTCCCACCACCAGAAGCCAGCAGCATGGCTGGGGCTGTACAGGGCCTGCACTGCTGGATTTTCAGCCCTGGGTACTGCAAACAAGGGCAGACCTCAGGCATGCATCCCAGAGCAGGAGAATGGCCTACAGGGAGCAGTGGTAGCATCAGAGGGGCCTTGTGAACACCCCGGACTCACCTGAGCCTCCTCTGTGTAGCTTATTTGTAGCCTAGGATGTCACCAAGATGCTCTGCACTTCAAACACTTCTTAGATCCAAAACTTGATTTATTTGAACAAGTAAATACAATTGTAAGAACTTCCAAATATAAAACCCGCTTGTACAAAACCCCCCAAACACCCCAAACTTCCCATTAACACATGGGTTTGATACAGTAAAAACTCTGAGCTTCAACACAGCTCGTAACTTAAAAGACAAAGCTTAAATGTACTCATTTTTGCAGTATAAACACATGTAACAGCAAATAGAAACACTCCTGTTGGAACTTTTAAGTAGGGCAGAAGAGCAAGTGAATATTTAGGCTCACCTTAAAGCTATCCTAGTTAAACTAACATACCCTCATGCTACAGAGGCCTTTGGCCTCTCCAGCTGCCCAAACCCTGCTCAGCTCTCTGGCTGTGCACAGAACTCAGTTCAGCTCATTCCCACAGGGATAAATCAGGTTCTGCCCTAGTAAAGTCAGGGTAATTACCACTGGGGTCTGAAAACACAAATGAGAGCAGCAGAGAAACCGTGCCCTCAAACACGAACGTGGTGGTAGGGTAGAAATGAGCCCGTGCTGTGTCGCCCTGATTCATTTCTGTGTCACTCTGGGTGCCCATGCTGTGATCCCAGCATCTCAGCAGTGCTCAGCTGATGCCCTGGCTGCTGTTGTGTGTTGGCAATGAATAGTGAGTGTGGATGCCTGAGGAATACCAGAGCATTAAGAGGTCTTGCTGAATCACCTCTTGCCTTTGCCCATAAGCTGACAGTTCAGAGAGCGTAACACAGCTGCTGGACTGGATGTTTTACCTGTCACTCAGGTCTGCCCCTCAAAAACATGTACTTTAAACAGAGGAAAGTTTTACAGGATTTTTATATATAAAAGTATTAAATATATGAACTATAACCCCAACCTTTTAGGAATGTGTTAACACATTGAAGACCTGTAGGTTTATCTGTTAAAAGCAGCGATGACCGAGATCTTGAGAATGGCCTCCATCCCGTAGAAGAAGAGCAGAACACTGTTGAGGATGACATCTGTTTTCAGCACATAGGTTTGCCACACCAGGAAATACACAGCCAGAAACACACTGGCCACTGTCATCACAAGACTGAGCCCCAGCAAACTGTCTTCTTCTGTCAGGTTCCCCCTTACACCTCGAAGGAAAGGAAAAGCTGATGTCTTTGATTTCTTCTGACAGTATCACAGCTCAAAGTGGAGAATGTTCCTGTTCAAAACCAGCTCTGGTTCTTCCAGCTCAGCACACACTGAAATACTGGCCTGACCAGGCTCTGTCAGTGACCATCAGAACAAGCCCAAGCACCAGTGGACAATCCACTTCTTGCTGACCCAGGTTAATCTGAACAAAGAGCAGCCTGTGGATACCCAAGTCCTGGCTCCCACCTTTTCCTACCAGATAATCAGCTCTGAAGCTGCAACCCATTTTGATCACTCAGCTTCTTGGTCAACCAGCAAACTTGCCCCCAAGCTCCCCAGCCTGCACTTAGTGTGACTGCAGCGCATCCAATCCTGATATTAAGATCTTATACAATACAAAACCTCCTCTATTCCCTGCTACTCCTATTTCAAATTACTGCCATTGTGGAGAAGCTGCTCTTCTCTCTTCCTTGCATCTTATTTCAAAGCAGCCTCAGTAGATTTTGCTGGTTAACTACATTAGGCTTGAAATTCACCTCTTTATTCATGCCCCAAATGCTCCGAGCAAACATGTGCAAAGCTTGAAGGCAGCAGGCTGAGATCACCCCATGGCAAGTGAGCTGAAGCCAGCACAGACCCACCTGCTCTCAGCAATATCAAGCACAGATTTGAATACTAACTTGTTTCCTTATTAAAAAAGGACTTTATGAAGTTTCAGCCAGATCTGGGCAGGGGTCAGGAGGCCCTTTGAAGCCTTGAGTACTGGTGTACATGAAGGCCTTAGGTCTCCCCAGAGCCTTCTCTTCTCCAGGTTGAACAAGCCCAGCTCTCTCATAGAATCATAGAACAGTCAGGGTTGGAAAGGACCTCAAGATCATCAAGCTCCAACCCCCTGCCATGGGCAGGGACACCTCCCTCTAAACCATATTTCCCAAGGCCTCGTCCAACCTGGCCTTGAAAATGGCCAGGGATGGAGCATTCACAACCTCCCTGGGCACCCATTCCAGTGCCTCACCACCCTCACAGGAAAGAACTTCTTCCTTAGATCCAATCTAAACTTCCCCTGCTTAAGTTTTAACCCATTACCCCTTGTCCTACCACTACAGTCCCATCCCCAGCATCCCTATAGCCTCTCAGCCTGTGTTCATAAGAGAGGTGAAATCTATTGATCAGTCAGACAAAGCTTAATGACATCAGTGAACAACAGCCTCCAAATAGCTATTATTCTGCTAAATTGGCATGTTTTGACACACATTTGATGCCAGAATGATCAGCGCTTAGAGCTTGTATTGCATGAGAAGGCACAGTGATAACGTCACCTACCCAGGTACAACCGCAGCGCTTCAGCAATGGCCATAATGACAAGCAGGGTGAGATCAACAGACAGAAAATCGTCTGGGTAGCTGAAAGCTTGACCTGGAGAAGAAGGCAGCATAAATGAGGCAGGAAAACCCAGCAGGGCCACTGAGAGCACCCAGCTCTGCCACAGGCACCCAGCCTCCTGCGGTGTCACAACAGCAGCAACTTACTTTTATAAAGCAACACTGCGAGAGTTGCCAGCAAGTAAAAGATTAAATAAAAGGCATTTACATGAAACAGAAACTGTAGAGGAACAGCTGACATCTGAGAGCTGCTGTTAAGGAATTCTCATAGGGATGAGGTGGGATCTGCTTCCTAAAATCACCGTTTCCCAGTAACTAGAAAATACTGTGGGTTTACTGCAAAGGGTTTACTGGGTAGGATTCAGAGTACCTGAGGTTGCAAACAGCAGGGGTTAGGATAAGAACTTGCTGTTTCGGGTTTGGCTTCAGCTCCTGTTCAAGAATGCCATTTGGTATGTGGTGGGGTGGTTCTTAGCCTCAGGGAAGGAGGGAGGTGCATGTGTGCGTTTCCACAACAACTTCTCTCCCTCTCAGTCAGCTTGAAGCGGTTGACAGGGGGTTGGCAGGCTCCCAACGCATCAAATTCCAGAGTTCTTGCAAATAGGTGGCTCTGTGAAGCAGCCAGGCCCCATCACTTCCCATCCCATGCCCACAGGATGGGAAGTCTGGAAGCTGTGCTCTTTGTTACGCCTCTGAGAAAGGCCACGAGCTCAACTTTGTGATGCAGATCCATCAGGAAGAGACTTCCTTAATTCACTGCTGACAAAGCTATCTGTTGGATAGTGTAAGAGCATGTTTAGCTTTAGTTACTTGTCTGCATGGATCCACTGCCAAAGCATCTGAGAGCTCCACAAGCCTTAACACATTCTCAGAATGTCCCTGAAGGACAGGGGCTGTCTTACAGACAGGGAGACATTAGTAGCAGGCTCAGGATTGATTCTCTCATCCCAAGGTGACAGCCACCTAAAGGTCCCCATCCTGCCTAATTTAGCTGCTTGAGATCCCTCTGGATCCAGCAGACATGAGCCCTTTCCTAGCCACAAGCTCCTGCATGGGCTGGAATGAGCCATGTCCACTGTTAACCCTGGTTTATTGGAGACACCACAATCTTGGATGTCTTCTGGAGCCCACTGACAGACACAGCCCCTGTATGGCAGGCCCATATGTACCAAAGGAATCTTTTGTTCTTAAGGCACAGCAGCATGTTCCTAATGCCATATAGGAGATACTGTAGGACATCCTGGAGCTCACCTCCACATGGAGAAGTTGGAATGTGGCTCCAAGAATCCACTTATATGTATTTTTGATCACAAATGCCTTCCTTAGCCTTAAAAAATTCAACTTAATTTATATAGAAAGTTACCTGTTCAGATTTCATTATGTCCACGTCTTTCTATACTCAAAATATCCCCTCCTCTCTCCCCCACCCTTCTCAAGTCCTTGGAATAGCTCCAGGCAGGGACTTCATCCCAGGCACCTTTTAGAGGCTCTGCCCAGCCCGCTCCTGCATGGAGCAGCCACCCACCTGCAGTGGCTGCATCCCAGTTCCCAGAGCAGCTCATGTCATTAAACCAGAACCAGGTTTTTGTGTTTTTCCAGTTGGAAGGTGGAGCAGAAAAATTACTAGATGGGTTCCAAGCATGGAAATCTCTGAAGCTGAGGGTGTCTCCTCTCAGGAGATGCTTAGATCTTGGCAGGAGTAAAGGGAGAATTAACATGAGAGAAGAGGAAGTGCTACTGAAAGCTGCTTTTCCTACCTCCTGTTGTCTGTGCCAGCTGCCTGTGGGCTTTGCTGCATGGGGTTTGTGTCCAGCAGTCCACAAATCCCATTTTCAGCCTTGCTTCCTAGGGAAATGAGTTATGGGATCATAAAACAGGGCTGTCAACCCTCTGTCAAGACCATGAGTTGGGATAAAGGGGCAGGGGCTCAACTCAACCTCAGCCACTGCTGCAGAAAAGTCTTAGGGGAAACGTTTTACCAGTTTTGCTTCATGTGGATGGAAAACCCAAGGAGTAACACGAATCCAGCAGGTTTATTAGGTGGGAAGATGGGAGCACCTCTCAGCCTGGCTTCCTGAAGGTTCCCACATGTGAGGGGTGACAGGTACCAAAAGGATACAGTTAATTCAGATCTTCCTTTACATGGAGAAGGGAAAAAGAGAAGAGAAGCAAATCAGTCCAATGATGCGACCAAGGTGCTGCAGAAACACTCAACAACTGTTTTGGGAGGTCAGACACGACTGTAGACGCACTCTGTCAGGTCACTGATGATGCATCATTCTCTCAGATCACAGAGTCCAAAGAGAACCTTTTCAAATCCCTTCATTCTAAACTAACTGGGGGGAAATCCCGGCTGTGAAAGTGACTTTGAGAGGAACCCATCTCTTTCCCAACATGAAGAAGCACCCAGGTGTTACTTAGAACTCGTTTATCCTGTCCTTGCGCAGCAGATGACATTCATCCCCTCTAACCATGCAGCAAGGAGGGAGACACGGAAGGGAACCAGAAGGTACCATTTGCTTTTCAATGGTGAGAAAGTGTTTGTGTAGCACATCAGGCTCCCAGTTCCTCTAAATAACAGCCTTCCAAACTGGTTCCCTTCAAAAGCAAAGTGATTCTATGTAAAACCGTAATCTATTCTGATCACCCACAGAATCCTACCTGATTTCCTACAAGCAAACCCACACGTCTTATTTTCCCTTCCTTTCTTCCTGCAAAAGCACAGGTAGAATTCCCTTGCAACGTGATGGCACTGACCTACTAAAGCAGCTCTTAAGTAACTCATTAACATCCTTGGCCTCTTTCAGCCACAGGAGGAATTGAAAAGCTGGGATCTGTTTCACAGGGAGCAGAACTGTCCAGGAGAGGCCACTGCATCCATCTGCCCTGAGACACCCCATTGTCACCCAGTCAGTGGGACGTACCTCACCCTCTCAATCCCACAGCTCCTCAAGGTTAATGTCCTCCTCCCCTAATAGCTTTATGCCCAAATTAATCTCACTAATGTTAGGCACCTATTTAAGGGATTCAATTTGGGAACAGAGGGGCAATAGGGAAGAATTTAAGGTGGTGATTCACACTGTCCATGCTCTGAAACGCCTCCTGTCCGTGTGGCCTCTCTGTAAAGGGATAGACCTGTCCCTTTGCTTAGCCAACATGCTTGAGTTCTTTTTGCAGGCTGGGAGTTAAAGGTTTCATAAGTACATTTGCTGCAGTGACTAATGGTTAAAATGGGTTTGTATTTCTACCTCGGTATAAACCCCCAGGTGAAAGTCATACCATGATGATGTGCTTCACAGAGACATCTCTGGTTTGTAGTTTACACTGTGAAGTAGGATGGGAATTGGAAGTAGAATCAGAGAATCCCAGCCTGGTTTGGGATGAAGGGACCTTAAAGCTCCTCCAGCTCCAACCCCAACTCCTTCCACTGGAGCAGCTTGCTCCAAGCCCCTGTGTCCTTGAACACTGCCAGGGATGGGGCAGCCACAGCTTCTCTGGGCACCCTGTGCCAGCGCCTCAGCACCCTCACAGGGAAGAGCTTCTGCCTAAGAGCTCAGCTCAGTCTAAACCAATCCAAATACCACCACGGCATCTGCAGCGCTGTTGTCATCCCACAGGGAGCATCCGGATCTGAACGTGTTCTGTATGAAGCTTTACCGGCACAGCCTCATCGCGCTGCCCCATATAATCACAGTGGTAATTGCACCTGAAGGGCAACCCCATGCGAATTCCCTGTCTGCAGCTCCCCAGGGTTCTTTTGAAGCTTATTTCTCGGCAGCCTTTTGCACCAGAGGGCTCGGAGCCCTTCCTGCCCCTCTCCCAGGGAAGGCTTGCACAGCCACTATTACCTAGAACACACTGCCTCCTCCCGAGCAACCCGGGGCATTTCAACTGGGTTGAACAAGGGAACCTCACAACATGCCTGTGGAAGGGCTGCTGCCCTTAAAGAGTAGTTAACATGGATCATCCTTGCCTGTATCCAAAGGAGTGTGACCAGCCGGGAAAGGAGGTGATCCTGCCCTTCTGCTCTGCTCTTGTGAGACCTCACTTGGAGTACTGTGTGCAGTTCTGGTGTCCTCAACATAAAAAGGACATGGATCTGTTGGAGCAAGTCCAGAGGAGGCCACGAGGATGCTCAGGGGCTGGAGCAGCTCCTGTATGGAGATAGGCTGAGAAAGTTGGGGCTGTTCAGCCTGGAGAAGAGAAGCTGCGTGGAGACCTCAGAGCAGCTTCCAGTGTCTGAAGGGGGCCTATAGGGATGCTGGGGAGGGACTCTTCATTAGGGACTGTAGTGACAGGACAAGGGGTAATGGGTTCAAACTGAAACAGGGGAAGTTTAGATTGGATCTAAGGAAGAAGTTCTTTCCTGTGAGGGTGCTGAGGCACTGGAATGGGTTGCCCAGGGAGGTTGTGAATGCTCCATCCCTGGCAGTGTTCAAGGCCAGGTTGGACAGAGCCTTGGGTGCCATGGTTTAGTGTGAGGTGTCCCTGCCCATGGCAGGGGGGTGGAGCTGGATGATCTTAAGGTCCTTTCCAACCCTGACTATTCTACGACTCTATAACAACAGCTGCTAATCCCAGCTCCCCGAGACGTCTCCCTGGGAGGATTAATGCAGTCTGCATTGCTGCTGGGGGGGGAGGTTGAATTGCAAGGGAGCATTTGGCAAGTGCTAATTGTTGAAGCCAAACGTTTTGAAACCAGTTTTTTTCTACCTAGGGCTGAAATCTGCATGTTTTGGGGACACCTTTGAGTTCTTTGAAAGAAGCAGAAATTCTTCATGTTGAATGAACTTTGAATCCCAGTGGTTCATAACCGGAGCGGTTCTCAGGGGAGACCTGAGAGCAGCTCCAGTGCCTAAAGGGGCTGCAGGGAATGTGGAGAGGGGCTTGGGACAAGGGCCTGTAGGGACAGGGCAAGGGGAATGGCTTGAACCTGCCCGAGGGGAGCCTGAGCTGAGCTCTTAGGCAGAAGCTCTTCCCTGTGAGGGTGCTGAGGCGCTGGCACAGGGTGCCCAGAGAAGCTGTGGCTGCCCCATCCCTGGCAGTGCTCAAGGCCAGGTTGTACACAGGGGCTTGGAGCAAGCTGCTCCAGTGGAAAGGGTCCCTGCCAGCAGCTGCACGGATTTACCTCAACATATCGCTGCTGTCGCGATAAAGCAGTCGGGCTGGGCTCGGCGCCAAGGCCTGGCTCGACGTCGGCCCCCTCCTCAATCTGTGTCCCCCCAGCCCTGGACCGGTAAGAGACAAGCTCTGCCCCGGTGGGAAGCATCCCCCCCCGGTCACCCTCCGCCCGTCTGGGACGTGCATAAAGGGCTGCCGGTAACCATGGCGCCGGGCCGCTCACCTTGCCTCCCAGCGGGCATCCTGGCCCGCCGCCCCCCCTCCCGGTCCTCCAGCGTCCCGGCAGGCTCCGCGCTGCGACCGTTTGTCCGCGCGCGTGGGCGGAGCTGGCTGCTCTGTTCCCGCCCCTCTTGCCTTCGGGTGCGATCGGAGCGCTCGGCCCGGTTCGGTCGCGTTCGGGCGGATTCGGGCACTGCCCGTTCGGGCGTCTCCGTTCGGGCCGGCGAAGGGGTATTCGGGCGCAATCGGAGAGGACTCGGCACAGCTCGGCTTTGCTCGCGCCCGCCTCACCCGCCTTCGGGCAAGATCGGAAAAGACCGGCACGAGCTCGGGATTCTTCGACCCTCTGGGCCGGACCGCTCGGGGACTCGGCCCTGTTCGGGCGCGCTCGGGTTCCCCACCCGAACTGTAAGGTATCGCTTCGGGCCGCGCGCCTACGGACTCGGCCGGGCTCGGCTGCGTCCTGCCTTGGGATTGGCCAGCCAGCAGGAAACGCAGGCCCCGCTCCTCGGGAACCATCTATAGCTTTCGGACGAGGCCTCGAAACACTCGGGACACTTCGGGCACCCTCGGAAGCGGTTCGGAAGCCCTCGATTCCGCCCGCGGAACACGCTCGGAAGCGCTCGGCCGAGTTCGGCACCACTCGGCCCCCCGCTAAAAAGCGCTCGAGTGACCTCGGAGGACCGGTCCCGTCCCCCCCTCCGCCCCCCCCACCTCACGGCCCCCTCCCACCCGCGGGACCCTCAGCAGCGCCCCGGGGGCGCGGCGGTTGCTGGGGCCCGCCCGGGGTCTGCTCCCGCCGCCCGCCTCGGATGGAGGACGCCGAATCGGCAGCGAAGCAGCTGGGCTTAGCGGAGGCGGCGGCTGTGGCGGCGGCAGCCGCGGTAGCGGCGGCTGCGGAAGGGCCCGAGCAGCAGCAGCAGCAGCAGCAGCCTCCGCAAGCGGCGGCCTCGCAGTCAGAGGCGGCTGCGCAGGTGACGGCGGTGACGGTGATGGCGGCAGATGCCGAGCACATCGAGATGGGAGCCGAGCCGCTGCCGAGCGCCGATGAGGCCGCCGCCACCTTCGCAGGTCAGGGCGGGCGGAGCGCGCATGCGCAGCTCCCTCAGCCCCATCGCCCGCCCGCTCCCGCCGCTCTGCTCTGCAGGGTGCGCGGGGCTGAGGGGGCCCGGCCTGCGCTGTACCTCAGGGCCGAGTCCCCCGTACCTTCCCCAGAGTGACCCCGCTCCTCGCTCCCACACCACAGCACCCACAGTGACAGGAGCAGGGTGCCCTGTGCACCCGCGGTTGGAGCCCCTGCCCCGTTCACAAAGCACCCCGAACCGTGCAGGACTGAAGGGGGCTGTGGGGCACCGGAGATGGCGGAGCCCCTGCCGCCTGAGCGGTGTCTCCCTGAGAGCTGCAGGGCTGCTCTCTCCCTGTTAGCCCTGTGTGGCACTGATCCAGTGGGTTTAGGCCGGCAGGCAAACACCCCACGCAGAACAGAAGCATCTGGGTGTGAGTTTGGACGGTTCTTAACCGGGCCAAGAGCAGGTAATGGTACCCTAGAAACTGATCCGTGTCTGAGGGAGAGTCAGTTCTCTTGATGTTTGCCAGACACCCCTCTTCTAATAAACAGCATCACGGTTTGGGTTGGGGTTTCCATATAGCTGCAATGTTCGTTTTCCCTTTAGTTCATCCCATGCTGATAACCGCTTTTATGCTCTCAGGTAAAGCACGTTCAACCCAAAGCTTGATAAAAACCCAGCTGATTGTGCTCACACCTGCGAGGGGCCATGAGCCCCAAGACTGCTCTTGAATAGGAAGGAAGGAGGAAATGTGACTCTCTTTATGGATGTTTAGCTGATTATCAGGCCCTATGATATATATATCAGGCCCTATAATATATATGATATATATATCAGGCCCTATGATATATATGAGATGCATATATCTGGCCTTATGATACATATATATATCAAGCCCTATGATATATATATCAGGCCCTATGATATATAGATGATATATATTAGGCCCTATGATATGTAGATGATATATATATCAGGCCCTATGATATATATGATACATATATCAGGCCTTATGATATATATAAGTATCAGGCCCTATCATATATATGATATATATATCAGGCCCTGTGATATATATGAGATACATATATCCGGCCATATGATACATATATCAGGCCCTATGATATATATATGATACATATATAAGGCCCTATGATATATATGATACATATATCAGGCCCTATGATATATATGAGATATATATATCAGGCCCTGTGATATATATGATACATATATCAGGCCTTATGATACATACATGATACATATATCAGGCCCTATGATATATATGATGCATCATGCCCCAAGTACGACATTAACGTGGTGCCTGCTTTGTGTTTCAGAAGTCACCACGGTGACCGTCGCCAGTGTCGGGGCCTCTGCAGACAATGTTTTCACCACGTCCGTGGCCAATGCAGCTTCCATTTCAGGACATGTGCTGGTGAGTCTGCCCTTTCCTGCGGTGGTGTTAGCCAGGTCCCACCTCCTCTCCTAGTGTACATGAAGGTCTGAGCTGTGGGAAGGCCAAAGGCGAGTTTTCATCGCAGAATACAGGCTTTAAGCCACAAAACCATTACCTGGAGTATATAGTTTTCTCCTTTATCACTTATGAAAGTGATTTTCACCTTTCTACCCTCATATACTCCTTCTGTAATGGACCTGATAACCTGCAATGTGTAACCTTTGAATCTGGTCGGCAGAAACCTCCCAGACTAACCTAATAGCTGCCATAGCGATTGGTGGTTTAGGGTACCCTTGAGAGGATTTAGGGGGTGTATTAAACCGCATTGGTCTTTTAACTCCATCAATTTCAACTCTTGATTTCCTCTGCAGTCTGGGAGAACAGCCCTGCAGATTGGGGACAGCTTGAACCCTGAAAAAGCCACCCTCATCGTGGTGCACACGGACGGCAGCATTGTGGACACCACGGGGCTGAAGGGGCCCTCAGCGCCTCTCACACCAGGTATAAGGCAGGCTGGTTTTAACTGGTGTTCTCCTGGAGGGCTCACTTTTCTCCACTTTTGTTGTGTTTCTAGGAGTAAAACCCACTATGTGCATAATATCATGTAAAGTTGCTTTATAAGGATCATTTGTCCCCTCTTCATAGAATCATAGAACAGTTAGGGTTGGAAAGGACCTTAAGATCATCAAGTTCCAACCCCCCTGCCATGGGCAGGGACACCTCGCTCTAAACCATATTACCCAAGCCCTCCTCCAACCTAGCCTTGAACACTGCCAGGGATGAAGCATTCACAACCTCCCTGGACGACCCATTCCAGTGCCTCACTACCCTCACAGGAAAGAATTTCCTCCTTAGATCCAATCTAAACTTCCCCTGTTTAAGTTTTAACCCATTACCCCTTGTCCTACCACTACAGTCCCTAATGAAGAGTCCACCCCCAGCATCCCTATAGGCCCCCTTCAGATACTGGAAGGCTGCTAAGAGGTCTCCACGCAGCCTTCTCCAGGCTGAACAGCCCCAACTTTCTCAGCCTATCTCCATACAGGAGCTGCTCTAGCCCCTGAGCATCCTCGTGGCCTCCTCTGGACTTGTTCCAACAGTTCCATGTCCTTTTTATGTTGAGGACACCAGAACTGTACACAATGCTCCCAAGTGAGGTTTCACGAGAGCAGAATAAAGGGGCAGGATCAGCTCCTTGGACCTGCTGGTCACGCTCCTTTGGATGCAGCCCATCATGTGGTACTTCTCGTATTTCCTGGGAAAAAAAGTTACTTTTATGGTTTGTTTTGTATTTCCATGTCAGCAATAGATTTAAATTCTCTTATTAGCTGCCCTGCCCCTTGCAAATAAGCTTCTTGGGAAGTCTCACCCTGCTGCTGGGCTGTCACAAGCCTTTCTGCGTCCATCCCAACCCAAAGGCAGATGGATCAGTTTAATATAGATAATGCGAGTTCTGCACTTGGGTTTTAAAGTTCTAGTGCTGCACATGAGTTCTTTGTAAAGGGTCCTTGAATGCAGTTTTATCTCCAGGCAGGCCACTTGCTGCTGTTACAAGTGGCACGACCGCAGATGTCTGGATCGATAAGGTTTTGCTGACGGCTGTCTGGCAGTTTCCTCTTGCCACAAGATGGCACAACAAACCTGCAGCCGTCTGCAGCTCAGCTTCTAGGAATGGGAAGAGGCATCCAGCTGCTTAACCCTTTTACAGGTTACAGTTTCAGCCTGTAACACGCTGTCAGAGTGTGTCCTCAGAGGCAGTTTGCTTTCTGTTCAATCATTTTGAGCTGGGCTGGCGCAGCCTGGAGGCTGAAGGCTCCTGAAGGGGAGACCTTAGAGCAGCTCCAGTGCCTAAAGGGGCTGCAGGAAGCCTGGAGAGGGGCTTGGGACAAGGACCTGTAGGGACAGGCCAAGGGGAATGGCTTGAACCTGCCCGAGGGGAGACTGAGCTGAGCTCTTAGGCAGAAGCTCTTCCCTGTGAGGGTGCTGAGGCGCTGGCACAGGGTGCCCAGAGAAGCTGTGGCTGCCCCATCCCTGGCAGTGCTCAAGGCCAGGTTGGACACAGGGGCTTGGAGCAAGCTGCTCCAGTGGAAGGGGTCCCTGCCCATGGCAGGGGTTGGAGCTGGAGGAGCTTTAAGCTCCCTTCCATCACAAACCAGGCTGGGGTTCTATGATTTTGAGAACACTGAAGCTGAATTTTTCATGGTGCACCATGTAACACGTGGCTGTGGAGAGGTGTCAGTCACATCAGTTAATCACTTGACACTTGCTGTGGCCAAGCTGTGCAGGTAACGGTGCATCCAGTGTGCTTTTCAGTTGCCTTCATCTTTCTTTTCTCTTTCCTTTTCCAAAGGGCCTCAATCTTCTCCTACCCCTCTAACATCTGTCCAAGAGAAAACTGGAACCAAGTACAACTGGGACCCATCCGTGTACGAGAATGAGCTCCCGGTGAGATGCCGAAACATCAGTGGCATCCTCTATAAGAACAGACTCGGCTCAGGTAACAGTGAGTGAGGAGGAAGCGTGACAGCTCCTCTTTGATGCTCTCTTCTTTTAATCAAGTTACTTCTCAGGGCTCTTCCTGAGGGAAGAAAAGACAGTTTCCCATCCCTTGTTCTCTTCTGGTTTGCTCTGTCTTCAGAGGCTTTTTATCTTCTCTTTAATGAAGATCCCAGCTGCTGTGCAGTGAGTCTCCTCAGCAGTAACTTGACTCCTCTCATGTTCTTTTTGTCTCAGTAGACCCATGTTTCTCTAAAGAATGACTGCTGGAAGGGAAAATAGAGAGCTTGTCTCCTAGTGGGACTCCTTAGCTGCCTTAGCCCCTCCTCTTCTCTTTTCTCTCTGTGGGAAAGCTGAAGCAATAGCAGCAGAATCTGTCAGCAAGCCTGATGGCACAGCACAGCGCTTCCTTCATGGACAGAGTTGTCTTCCCCACCAGAAGGATTAGAAATTGAAGTGCAAATTAAGGAAGAGCTTCAGTTCGTGGTGTTTTTGCAGAAAAGACTTATCCTTCCTGCGGATGAGGAGTTTTTTTCCAGCCTTTTGATGTGTTGGTGAGGCCTGAAGATGGAGCTCTCTAAACATGCACAGTCATTGTTGGAGCCAAGATAATAAATGGGCATGGTTAT